TTGCTTCATGTTCATTTTCACTAACCGACAGGTTGGCGGTTTTTCTCACAACTTTTCCAGTATGCAAATGTCCTTGGGCAAGATACTGACTAAATCCTTCCACGTGCATGCATTGATGTGTATTATAAACGACTAAAACCCTCTATGCATACAAAAGTGATGTATGAATGAGTGCGGCACATTGTTTTTAATTGTGACCAATTTGCTTTTTGTAAGAGCCTGGATTTTTCAAAATTTACTGTTAAAAAAAATTCTTATTTCAAGGAGCGTGTTTCAGGTTACCAATCTCTTTGACAGATAAGTGTGGTTCAGAGAGTAGGAAGTAGATGACATCACTCACCTCCCTCTGTCTCCACGACGTCAGCCGCGTTTCTCTCTTTGTCCTGATCGGACAGTGGCCATGAAGACTCTTCGCTCTCTCTGACCACTCTCTGTGTTTTAGGCTCTGAACTCTGCAAGTAAAAGACAAATAAAAAATAAACATCTGAATATAAAAATATAACATTTGTGAAATAGTGGTGTTTTTAAGTAGTGGCTGATTATTTTAAAACTCCAACTAAAGTTTGCATTTTTGAGGTTGTTAAAGTTTCAAGCTAAAAGACTAGTTTATACGAAGAGCAGCCAATCAGAAGAAAGCTGACTTAATAGGCGCTAGAACACCTTGCTGGTGGATAAAATGAAGAGCTGCATCCATGGATTCTCTTATAGTGTGCAAAATGACTATTACAGAGTCCAAGAACAAATATATGGGATTGAAAATAAGCATAATACATCTACCTTAAAAGTACAAATTCCTCAGTTTACAGACAAGACAGCAACTTTAAACATGAAGTAGTGTCTAATGGCACATATTGAGTGTGTCAGCATCTTCATGGTCCAACTCCTTAATAATGATCCCGCTGCAACTTATTGATGGCTTATTTGAGCTAAAGACATTTGTCACGACACGTACAGTGGCTTGCAAAAGTATTCGGCCCCCTTGAACTTTCTTGGTAGGTTTACAGTTGTGCCAAACTCCTTCCATTTCTGAATGATGGCTTGAACAGTGCTCCGTGGGATGTTCAAGGCTTGGGAAATCTTTTTGTAGCCTAAGCCTGCTTTAAATTTCTCAATAACTTTATCCCTGACCTGTCTGGTGTGTTCTTTGGACTTCATGGTGTTGTTGCTCCCAATATTCTCTTAGGCAACCTCTGAGGCCGTTACAGAGCAGCTGTATTTGTACTGACATTAGGTGCACTCTATTTAGTCATTAGCACTCATCAGACAATGTCTATGGACAACTGACTGCACTCAGACCAAAGCGGGCTGGATAGTTACGCACACACCCCACTTTTCAGTTATTTATTTGTAAAAAATGTTTGGAATCATGTATGATTTTCGTTCCACTTCTCACGTGTGCACCACTTTGTGTTGGTCTTTCACGTGGAATTCCAATAAAATTGATTCATGTTTGTGGCTGTAATGTGACAAAATGTGGGAAAGTTCAAGGGGGCTGAATACTTTTGCAAGCCACTGTAGATAACCCTGCATATCTAGAGTACATGCATGGCCATGCTGGCTAGAGTCACATGTACAGGTGTAAATACAGTAATGAAACAGGAAGTTAATAGAAAAATGAGGAAGGAAATATCTAACAAGAAAGCAAATATCAAGCCAAGAAGCTACTCACGTGATCCGAGGTGTTTACTGGCCTCTCTGTGTCTTTAGCTTGCTGTCTTGTTTCTTCTTCACCATCTTCAAACTGTAAAGCAAAAAAAAAAAAAAAGAAGCTTAGTTTACATTAGTTTAAAGTTTGGCTCATAAACACACTGTAGCAGTGTAATGTGGGTTTACTTTTGATGGCTTCAAACCTTTTCAGAATCTCGCCTGGACGGACTAGACATCTGAATTCTCTCGCCTACTTCCTCCGCGGACTTCCCCACGGAGCTGATGCTCTTTCCGGGTGCAATTTCAGACTCTGCTTTTTTATGGAATGAGCTTCCTTCCTGAAAGTAGGATGAGAGACAGATATGAAATGGACCACAAACAACTGTTATTTAAACCAAAAAAAAACCCCCCAAAACAAGTGTCTCACCTCAGTATGAGCGTTATCGGAAACATTTTCAGATCTCTCAGGTGTGCTGTCTGATAAAGGATCCAGCCTCCTCCTCTTTGCAACTTTAGAAGCAAAACAATGTGATACAAACCATTAGTTAGCTTAGTTTTAAAGTGAAGCAGTAGTTAATGCTCGTTTTACTCATTTACTGTGAGTTTAGACCTACTGACCAGGTTCAGAGTGAGAAGAAAGGCTGGCTGAGGATCCTGAAGGAGTCACAGATGCAACAGGTCCCTCAATTTGACTGATCTGAGGAGAAAAATTAGCCAGAGTGTTTGCAGGTATATTAATATCATTTTAAATGCAACTTAAGACCAAACTTGTGATGGAAGCAGAAACTGAAAGTACAAATATCCTTTTGATCCTTTCTGAGTTTAAGAACACTGTCCAGATATGCTTATCAATCTGGAAAGGAACAAAAATATAATTGTTTTCCTAAATGATATCCAATTTCCTCAAGTTTTAAACCCCGTTAACCACACAGCAGGGATTTCTCCACAGGCATTTAAATTCTTGACAGCTTTAGGTCAGTTTGAAAGGTTTAAAGTCATTTTTAAAACCCAATAATTTACAATAAGCACCTTTAACAACTGGTAGAAATCCAGATAATAAATCATGAAAACTCAAGAATCAAAAGAAATTTACCAAATATGATTCATACCAAATAGGAGTAGCTCCTCTCTCACCTGCCCTGGTGGAGGCCTGTTCATGGTCTTTCGCGCCCGATGGATCTTGGGTGGTGCAGGGGAAACAGATGGAGAAGAAGCAGCTGTTGTAGAGGAAGAAGAGGAGGAGGATGGAGGACCAGGTGGAAGGACAGATTTACTGCTACCAGGCCCTGAAACGCTCATCTTTGCTCGGCCAGGAGACAAAGTCGAGGACGTGGAAGGAGACGACGACAATGACGATGAGGTCGTCGAAAGAAGGGAATTTGCTGTGTAACCTGACAAATCAAAGCAAAAGGGATTATCTCCTCAGTTTGTAAACTAAGTCCGATTAAATCAATGAAATCAACTCAGAGAATTTCGACAGCATCTAACGCAACCTGAGCTCACCTGTAGCAGCAGGTTTGTTCTGGGGGGAGGCAGCAGGGGACCATTGTTCTCCTTCCTCTCTGACTGTGGAAGCATCTTTCCCGGGCTGCTGGGACGACAACAGTGATGACATAACACCCATGGGCTCCGTCTTGGTGGCAGCAGCAGATGAGGTGGAGGCTGCATTATCTGAGGAATATCCGGAGTGCAAAAATTTTAACGTTTATCAAGGAGAAATCATTTCTTGGGCATAATGCTACAATCTGACGCTTGATGGTAGTGTAATGATGTGCAGCATGTCATAAATCTCAAAACATCTCAGTCTGATTTCTTTAATATGACAATTCACTGTACTCATATGAGATCAAATGGCATTCACAGGCCATTTAATTGCAAACCAATACAATGTCTTTCAATATATTTCAAATATTAACATAATCTGCATAAACCAGCTGGTGATTTACCTTCCTTTGTTTGACTTGACCCAGCTAATGACTCCTCTGATGTTTTTGACTCGTCATTTTCATGGTGCTCCTGGTGGACAAAACAAGAAACAAGTGAAACGAGTAAAACTGATAATAGAACAGGCTCTTATTTCAATGATTTAATGAAATGATTGCAGTTCAACCATCTCGAAGATGGTAGAATAAATACACAAAGAAATTATATTGTATATTTGCATGCATGCAAAATATACAGTTGCTTGAAAAAGTATTGTCCCCCTTCCTTTATTTTTGTATGTCTGTTACACTTAAATGTTTTGTTGAAATTCAGCCACAATGAACCCCCTTTTTAATGTCTTGACACAGCATCTCAATTGGATTTAGCTACAGGACTTTGACAACCTTTTTCACACCAGTGTACATGTAAAAACATGCATTCTAGAGGTCTAAATGTGTATCCACTACACTCATTCTATCTCTGGCCTTATGGTAATATTTTTGGGCCCAGCAAGTTCTCTTGATAGAAACGCTTCCTACTGACAAACAACACAGGACCTCAACCAGGGGCAGCAGGACAAGGATATGAGGATACTGTGAGCATCACAGCATCACTCATCTCAAAAGTGTTGTGTCTGTTCTTTGGCACTGCAATCAAAACTGTCACAAATGTTATTTTAGGTAAAAAATAAAACCCACTACTTTCGGCCTTCACTTCTCCAAAATAAACCTGTCGGCCAATAGGTGAAATTTTCTGTTATGTTACATCAACTGCCGCCATGATTCAGTAATTCCATTGATGTTTTTTACACGACCCAAGAAAAACTCCTTACTCAAGCAGTGCACCAAATAGAAAAGTGAATTTAAAACGGGATTTTAACCTATGACTGCTTAAATTCTTTTGGTGTCCATGTCTCGTTGGTGCAAAATTTACTTAAAAAAAGCTCCTAACAAGCAACTACGAATAAAAACATATCCTAAAAACAGATCGAGGTGCGATACTTGCTATACAGAGGATTGCTACAAAGGTTTCTGGTCAATAAATATAAAACAGCAACAAAACATCATCTGGATAAGAGTAACCCTGCAGGTAACACAAAACTGTTACAGGCTAACATTGCTAGCAGTGCAGCCTAGGTTTCAATAAAAAAGCTTATTATAATCGACATGTAAAGTCAAGAGGAGCTTGGCAGTATGCAGTATCGGTAAGCTGGGGAGTTTAAAGGTAGACGAATAGACATAAATTCCTTTAGCATGCAGTTTTCAGCTGCAGTACGTTAGCTACCTTTGTCGTTGTCTCAGAAGCCGACATGTTTCCCAGTGACCGTCAACGTATGTGAGCGTGCTGCGTCACGGCCGGAGCCCCGCCCCTCAATGGATGGTGGGAGGGGGGTGGTGCCCATTAATTTTTTTAAAACTCGCTGATCAGAAATCAGCCTACGTGCTCTGGTTTTACGGCTGACCGCGAGGCGAAGTCGCTTGCGAAAACAGACTCAAAGTCAGCTTAGCGGCGAAATACGGGGCGGTTTGTGTTTGTTGTCACGAGGTATGCTTTCTACACCCCCCTCCGAAAAAAATAAAGGGGCCGAAAAGTAAACAGAAACCGAGGCAGAGGCTGGTGTCGTCTGGAGGAATGAACAGACAGCGCTCCCGTTCGGCTAGCATCTCCTCATTTAACAGTCGCTTCATTTAAAGAAACTCCGATTTGCTTTCTGGAGAGCCCGCAAGGCATTCAAGGAGAGGAGAGGCGAAGGTGAGCAGGCGACAAAGTTTGACAATAACTGAGGGGGTTTTGTTTGTTTGGCTGCCACTGGAGAGACGACACGAAAAGCGAGCTGTTAGTGAGTGGCTAACGTTAGCTAGCTGGACTGGAATGAAAAGAGGACAAAAACGTGTGTTATAGCCAGCTTATAATCACCTTTACTAGTTTATTATAGGCTCCACTACTGTTGAAACACATGAAACGGTAAGCTTTTTTTTAATATCCGCTTTTCAAGTTCAAATGTTAGCCAGTCTAACTTTTCAGCGTGGATATAATTAGTCTGTTTATATCACATCAGTTAGTGGATTACATTAATATAACATGTCACTAAAGTGAGCTAGCATTATATAATTTCGTCCCATAGGTCCTCTTAACCTTAGTTGGTGTTATACCACTATTTACAAACACTGATTTTTTAAATTGTCTTTGTCAGTTTGATTTGCGCCTACCATGGATCTTATTTTTTGTTGGCCACTAGAAGCATGTTTAATCTACATATTTATTGTGCTAATTGACCAGTTTTCATCCTTTATTTTGTCGTCATTATCTTGAGAGACAGTACTATGCAAAAGTCTTGAGCCACCCGTTATTTCTTTATAGGATCCAAGCTTTCTTGTCATTTATATTAAAGTGATCTTGAGCAATAGTACTCCAGGATGTTGTCTTCTGTTTTTTCACTCACTTTGTATCTGAATGCTCTGAAGTCAGAGCATGTTCCAGTCCACAAAAACTTTTTTTGTAACAAAATATCGATTTCTGCTGTCCCTGTATCGATACATTATTAGCAAACAAAATATCACGATACTACACAGTATCGATTTTTTTCCCCCACCCCTACTGTATAGACAAGGTATTACAAGTAAAAATAGGTGAGGTGTGATAAAGAAGTGATATTTGTTGGCTCTTGGTAGGAATGGTTATGAGGTCCATCATGGTGGAGTGAAAAAGCAGCTGTGGCTGTCCAGCACAAGATGGAGAGGGTGTGAAGGATTGGCCAATACTGACCATAACTGGGACAGTATCCTCCTTTCTGAAACCTCTGTCAGAGACTACACCCACAACATTACTGGCTTCAGTTTATTGAGTCTGTTGTTATCTGCTACTCTCTGTCTGCCGACAAACTTTTTTGCGGGTGTTTGTTAAGCCACTCAAGACTGACCTATGACTCATTCGAGCATTTAAAAAAGGCTCCTAACTTAAGGGATGAACCATTGTTGTCTCTACACATAACAGACAACTTAACAAAGAACCAATTTAAAATTTCATCTTGAGGCAGTTTGTTACCGGTGCCTGTTGCTTTAACACATAATTTATTCCTGTTTCTTTTTAGCCGAATCTATGAAAAGTACCAAAAATAACACTTTCAGAGATATGAAATTTTATTTTTGCATGAACTAGGTGATTCCTAACAAGTTACTAGCTGAAGACTTGGCATAGCTTGACTTGGTGTGCAGTGTGTCCTTAAAAATTGATTAAGCTAGACACAGAGGTCCAAAGAAGAAAAAAACGATCTACAGCTGTTGGACAGTATCTGAAAGTCCGACAAAGACCTGACAGGGTCGAGAGATGCATTTGCCCCCCCCAGTTGATTCATCTACTGTTCAGAAATTATATCAGTGGAAAAGTGGCTGTCAAAGAGCCATTAGTAAGCATGAAGTATTCCTGAAGACTACTTAAATAAATTACAAGAAAACCT